AACAGGGTAAAACTATTGCTCAGTGAACTGCAGGAATATTTTGTAAGTTTTGGTGCCTCAGCAACAGAAGGGGGTTCATTTTTTTAGCATAGGATATTGCTCATTGGACATAGGATATCGCTCAACGGACATCTTCATTAATGATGTGGACACTGGAGTCAGAAGTGGACTGGCCAAGTTCGCTGATGACACCAAACTTTGGGGAAAAGCATCCACACCAGAAGACAGGCGGGTGATCCAGGCTGACCTGGACAGGCTCAGCAAGTGGGCGGACGAGAATCTGATGGTGTTCAACGCCGATAAATGCAAGGTTCTCCACCTTGGGAAGAAAAACCTGCAGCATCCTTATAGGCTCGGCAGTGCTATGTTGGCCAACACTATGGAAGAAAGAGACTTGGGGGTCATCATTGACCACAAGATGAACATGAGCCTGCAGTGCGATGCGGTGGCTAGTAAAGTGACCAAAACGCTGGCTTGCATCCATAGATGCTTCTCAAGCAAATCCCGGGACGTCATTCTCCCCTTGTACTCGGCCTTAGTGAGGCCGCAGCTGGAGTACTGTGTCCAGTTTTGGGCTCCACAATTCAAAAAGGATGTGGAGAAGCTTGAGAGAGTCCAGAGAAGAGCCACGCGCATGATCAGAGGTCAGGGAAGCAGACCCTACGATGAGAGGCTGAGAGCCCTGGGGCTCTTTAGCCTGGAAAAGCGCAGGCTCAGGGGTGATCTGATGGCCACCTATAAGTTTATCAGGGGTGACCACCAGCATCTGGGGGAACGTTTGTTCACCAGAGCGCCCCAAGGGATGACGACTAGGTCGAATGGTCATAAACTACTACAAGACTGTTTCAGGCTGGACATAAGGAAGAATTTCTTTACTGTCCGAGCCCCCAAGGTCTGGAACAGCCTGCCACCGGAGGTGGTTCAAGCGCCCACATTGAACACCTTCAGGAGCAAACTGGATGCTCATCTTGCTGGGATCCTATGAACCCGGCTGACTTCCTGCCCTTTGGGCAGGGGGCTGGACTCGACGATCTTCCGAGGTCCCTTCCAGCCCTAATGTCTATGAAATCTATTGCATTGTAACTGAGTTCCCTTTCCAGCAAGCTGTAGGACCTCAGCTTGTGGCAGAATGCCAACTCTGTCTCTCCCCAAAAACTCTGCTATGTGACAGTTTGGTTAACATGGTCCCTGCAGAGGGCGGACATCCCCTGGGCTTTTTAGGTAACCCTGAGTTGTAACATGTGCTGGATACATTCCTGAGGGAGGGGGGGAAACCTGCTCCCTCTGCCTGCGTTACTGGCATCACATACCTGGGTGAGGGGCTTACACTCCCTGTTGTTCTAAGCAATGTCAACCTGACTGGGAGGGGGCTAGAGACCTTGCCAGTCTACCCGGCAACCAGTGATGCATTTCAAATTGGTTGGCTGGCAGCCAACAGGTGATGGCCTCCATTGGCCCAGGTAAATGAGGTCATAAGGTCTATATAACTTAAGGACTGCCCAGGACGAGGAGCAGCATCCATGATGAAAAGAGAGAAGAACTGGACCATCTGAAACTTGCTCTCTCTCTTGAAACTCATGATCAGGGAATTGCCACCTCCCTCTGGATGATACTCATGAGTAAGCTACCTGAGATCTAACTAGATATATAGCTTCCAGTCACTCAGATGCGTGATCAAAGGCAACCCAGCCACCCTGTTTGCTCTATGAGATTTCTCTGATTATTGCTGTACCCTGTACCCTATTCCAAACTTGCTCCCTGTAGCCAATGAAGTTCTCCTTTGTACCTAGCGTGGGAGACTTATTGTGAGAGGGACTAGCTTATGCCTTGGGGATCCCCTTGGTTCGGCTGACTAAGGGAGACCACTATTTGTGCTTCAGACTGAGGGAAGCACCCCAAGTTCTTGGAGTGGGTCAAGTACCTTCAAGAACTACTAGGCCTGTGTTTCCCAGGGGGCACAGTGCCAGGATCAGGCCAGAGCCTGGATGATGACAGCGTTACCCCCAGGCTAGCGGGTGTGGTCCAGGAAGGGGAGTCGGGCGGGGTTCGCTCAGATGTGAGGCGCCCCCAAGGAGGTACTCAGAGCCTGGAAGGTGGTTGTGCCTGAACCACCCACCTCACTGTGCCCAAGAGCACCCCCAAACTGGCCCACTGCACTGCTTATAATTCAGAATGAAAGATTCCTCAGAATCTTGACTTTTGTTTTGTGGATGCTCTCTGAAAGAGGGTTGTTGTTTTTTTTTAACATTTCTCAAAAGGTCAGTAGGGGCTGGGACTCTCCTAGGGTCATACATGTTTTACACAAATGTAACTTCTTTGAACTTATTTGTTGATTCCAGGACTTTCACTTCCTCTCCCATTCTGTCTATTTCCTTTCCAGCTCCTGTCATCTTCTATGATGACATTATCCTTTCCTAGTCATGGCATCCCTATACAAATGGGTTTCAGTTGCAAGACCCTCTTATTTACATCAGGTGTCCTTTGTGCTTCCTGGTGAGAAGGTGTCAGGAACCCGGATCCTGGCACAATGTTGATAAGCCAGCTCCCTGCTTCTTATGACAGTTTTTTTTCTACTAAACGTCCCATTGAGAAGCAAAATTCTGAAACAATTGATTGTTTGATCAATTTTTGATGAAACAAAAACATTACATACAACTGTCTTAATATAGCCCAGTATGCCAACATTTCAGCAGAAAACCCACTTCTTCCAGTAAATAATGGACTTCCTTTTATTCTCCTAAGTCTCCAGATCCTATTGGCATTAGCATGTGCACTAAAAGGAATGGCCCAAGACCGCATTTCCCAAAGTGTGGGGTATATCTCCCTGTTGAGGAACCCAGAGCATGTGTATATCAAGAGGTATAGGGTTTTAACAACACCCATTAGAATTGCAGAGGAGTGTGATTAGCGTCATTCTTCTGAGGTAGGGGGCTTTGTTTTCAAATCTGAGCCCTCAACATTCATTTCAATCCTGGTAGAGCACTGTGTCCTGTGTATACTTTTGATACAGAGGTTGTATGCTCTGATGTAAGACACAAGGGTCTGAATTCTGTTGCCCTTTCTGTGCCAAAGTGGTGGTTTTTCCAGCTGTGTAAGTGGCACTTCTGGAACTTACATGGAGTTTCCAATTCCAGTGCCATGCACTATGACTATAAGCATCCCAAGAGCGATTGCACATGTTCAGTAGGCTATGCCCTGGCCAGGTGGGTGTGTGGTTACCAGCATACAAGTCCTAGAGAAGCGAGATAAGGAGCTTTCCCTGTTTTAGCCCTAGTAGGCTAGTGGCTAAAGGATTAATTGCAGAAGGAGACAACACAGGCTTTAGGCTCTCCTTACCCAGAAGGGGTTTGAACCTGTAGCTTTCTGGCTTCCCAATACAGTCTCTAAATACTAGTCTACAGGTCAGTCACTATCCAGGCCCTTCTCTAACACACCTCTTGAAACTGAGCCATTCTCCCTTGTGTTTAATGATACTGGATGAAGCAGAACAGTCGGGGAAGCTTCTATCACATGAGGAGCAAGCGTCTATGCTAGAACTCGGGGCCTGTTCCTTTGTAAGGCAGTTCACTGAGCCATACACCCTCTAGTTTATATGCTTCCTTCTGGCCTCACAGATCTCCTCTTGACTACCCAGAGGCCAGCTTGAAAAGGAAAGATGGAAAAGCAGGTTTGAGTATTCTTGACTTGTAGCCTGGTGTTTAAGACCACATGCTTGGCAAGTCAAAGAGCTGCAGATTTAAACCCCATGGGTCAGGGGGACCCTAGCTGCTGAGCTAGTGGGACTGAAACAGGGAAGGACCATCGTTCTCCCCAGTCATGGCTTTTTTCCAGGAAGGATTTTGTGACTTACACATACCTGGCATACGTTTGTATGTAGCCATGTATGTACCTGCCCAGAATGCAGCCTTCTGCTGGCTCCAAGTAGTGAGAGTTCAAGATCCATCTTTTGGTTTTTGATCTAATCCCACTCCTTTGCAATGTGTTTCCGTTTCTTGGCCATCAGAATTGATCCTTCCAGCCAAGATCCTTTTTGTCTTTGAAAACTTTCTGCTTTCCATGAACCTCCCTTTCTTGGAATCCATGGCCTCAGTTTGCATGCATGCGGTTCTCATCTTTAAACTCACATCCTAGCAAACTCAAAAGCGGCCCTATCCCCGAAATAATTGCCCACCCCTGCTAAGCCCTTAGTATTCTGTTTACTACTTTGTAACTTGCATTCTGAATTGTTATAAGGAAGGTGCAGAAATGGCAAAGTCAGCAGTTGATTCTCTTTCTGCACCAGAAACATGCTGATTCCCGATGATCTGAATATAGACAGTGTGCTCTTACATTACTGAGCACTTAGGTTTGGCCATTTGCATCTCACAGAGTGAATCAGGTGACATTAGGAGTGTAATTGAAGCATATGCTAGACAAAAACAGAGATTTAAAGACTAACGATAATGGAGGCAAAAGTGGGAGTTCATGTGGGAATCCAGTTCTCTGTCCTGCTTCTTGATTGGATGCTGCAGCAGTCTGGCCAAATATAGGGAGCTGTGATCCAGTCATTTCAAACTGAGTGATGATTAACAAGCTGGACTGAGAATGTATCAGGAACCTTGTGAAGTCACACAACAGGGCAGGAGCCTTTTCTTGAGCCTTAAACATACTTCAGCAAGAGGATTTTCTTTTCCTACATTCTTTTTTTGTTAGATAAAATCGTGAAAGGCTTATTCAGAGAAGCCAGAAGTGGTTTGGAAGCATTTAGTAGCTCAAGAAGGAGCATGAAACCTTATCTGCCGCTTACTTGAACATTCAATGATTTTAGCAGTTAGAGGACTGTATTTGGAATCCATTTCTGATGCTTTCTTTTCAGCTCCATCTTCAGTTTGTTGGCTTCAGCTGTTTGCTAAAATAAGTTTAGCTGTCTTGCAGAGCTTAAGCTCATCATTAAGTTGTGAGTTAAAATATTGCTGTGCCCGTTGGTATTGACTAGGCAGATCTGGACTACGCCAGTCAGAATGGTCAGGTATGACCCCAGAACTCCAATATGCATGTATTTTCTTGTAAGGCTGGCTTAGTTTTCTCTTTTAGGGGAAAGGAGCAGTTCTTGCTGCCACTGCCATTGCCTCTGCCCCCAGTAGTAGAAACCAGGATGAATAATATGTCGCTTGGCAAAAATATATTTCTAAAAATAGCTATTTTAGTTTACCTGCGTTACTTATGCAGCTGTTTTTAAATTTCCATTCTTTGGTATGTTACCATTTATTTATCAGTGAAAGGAGGTTGGTTATAACTACTGATGGATTGAAGCTTTGGCCTGGTTGCATTTTAAATAGACATCTCCCTAGTGACAAGGTATTAATGTCACATTAACAATTAGCATTTGGAATGGCGAGCTGAGCAAACCAAGACGTTTCAAGTCAGCCTTTTTAAAAAAGAAAGAGGGAACAAAAGACATATGTGCTGTGACAGCATGGCACAGAATGTACTCCACCATCAGGACTTCACATTCCTCATGTTGACAAATTTAACTTAGGGGCCCGCTGACTGTTTGTGCAACTGGACTATTCTTAAAACTGGTTTGATCAGCTTTGATCATGCCTTATAGGGACAACATTCATTCTTAGGTCTGCTTTGGTGGTTCCCCATTCTTCCCTGCATAAAGGACGCCGGGGGGGGGCAGTTTTGAAATCATTGACATGGTTGATTTCAGTAGGATTTGGGCCCTAGAACAACTCGCTGAAAAACCCAGTTTCTACTTCCTCCCATATTCTGTCCTTAGCACTAATCCATTCTGTCAGCCTTGGTGAGTAGGTGGCTGATGGTACAGTGTAATGCCTTTAATATGAGCAGAGAGGAACGTAGAAATTCCGTCACACTGAAGGAGACCCGCCAGACAGAATTTTAAAATGGGTAATATGTTATTATTGCATACCAATTAATATAACTTATGTAACTTTATTTAAATATAGACTAAACAAAAGAGAGGCCTAAAAATGTACACCCCTCTCAGCCCCTCACAACTTCAAGAGGACAGAAAATTGCTGAGCATCTGCTCTTACGTTGCACTGTGTGGTAGGGTTGGCTCATAGGGTTGACTTAGTGCTTCTGGTTCCCTACCTTGCTACTTTCTCTTCCTCTTCTCATTTTTCCCACATATTCCCTACCTCTCTTCCTCTTCCCTACTGTATCATTTTCTAGAGAATATTTATGGCTACTGAGGGATAAGGGTTGAAAATGCAGAATAACTGAATAACAGAGGGACTTAATACTGAATCTTATATATCCTAGTGAGTGCCATAATACCAGGCTGTTAGCTGTTCTGAGGGGGAAAGAGACTTGGTTTCTGAGGATCTTTGGTTACAGCCAATGAGAAATGCAAACCTTTTAAAAATCTACAAAAGTGTCGCAGGGTAGGAAGGCCATTTCCAGCTCAGTTTTAGTTTCAACAGCTGGAGGTACATTTAAAATTCCCCTGGGAATGTTTTGAGTGATCAAGCTAGAAAAGAGATCCACCAGCTCAGGATCTGATTCTTTCCACTCAGTGTGTTAGTGCTGTTCTTTGTTAGCCTTGCTGGGAGCACATTTTGTAGGTCAGCACTGAAGAATGGCTAATGTGAGATTAATAGCATCTTGCATCTCCAAAGAATTGTTCTTGGCTTGCACATGAAGAAAGGTCCAAAACAGTGGATTAGTTCAGGGTATTGAGCACAGTTTGCTGCTGTATCTGTTTTAAGACTAGCTGTAGGTAGAAAGCAAGTTTGTGGTTATTACTGGGGACATAGCTGGTAGTTCTAGTGCCCCTGGCTGTTGATTGACTAATTAATAATAAATACAGTAGTGTGTGTGCATGTGCACTAGATAACATTTGGTAATGAAATGTTTTTTGGAGAGAAATTGCTTAACTTTTCCTTGAATGAAAATCTCTGATAGTTTATGTCTTAGGTTTTTTTTTTCTCTGGAAAATACTCTGGAGAAAATCAATTTCAAGAACTAGTAGAGTTTTCCAGGGAAGTTATTTACTTCAGAGCTGTTCAGAACTCAGCTTAGACCTATCAGAATGGTAGCATCTCAGAGAAAGCTGTGTTATCTCGTTTATTTATAGAGGTTTCCTTCCTGTAGCAAAGCACAAGAATCCTCCTGGTTGGCAGAATATCATTTTTGTCCTTGCTTGCATACAGCTTGTTATTTTCTCTTCGATTTCTACAAGTGTGATTCTGTTGTAGAATAGTAATGCTTTTCTCAATGGATCTGTTTCTTGCATATCTTTGATGATAAAGATAAGGCTTTACTGCTTTCTTTACTTTCCTTCAACTGCAGAGACAACAACACAGCTGTCAGAGGGTGAGGAGTTGTTCCGTCTACTGATGCACAAATGGGAACTGGTTTAAGTACTGTGCTCCTATATATATTCTCATTGAAACTATTGAGGCCAGAAATTCCCTCGGAGGAGGCATATACAAGTTTTTGGGTCTTGAACTTTAAATGTGCTGTTATAGGAAAGGAAGGAGGCTGGAGGAAAAAAACTACCCAAAGCTCTTATTTGACTGTGTGCCAGGTAGAGAAAAACTATGAAAATCAAGGCAGAAGAACTTACAGGATATGAGCCGTTTTACTAATCTAGGGCTATACAGTCTGATTAACTTTTTTAAGAAGATAGCCATGGTAGCTGCTATCTTACTTAAAATTACATAGTGCCTGCCATGAAGAGCATACTGTGGCCTATACAGTATCAAGTGCAACACTGGAGCTTACCAACTAATTGACTATGCCTTAATTGAATAGTCCGGCTGCATCTGCTGTCTGTCCTTCCCTGACCCTATCCTCTGTGTTCTGTCATTGAGACTGTAAACACTTTGGGGTAAGGGACAGCCATACTGCAAGGTGCTTTAGCGTTTGTGCAAGACTTAAAAAAACAAGGCTGAATCATTGATACAAGTTAAATGATGGCACTGCAGATTGATAGATAAGAAAATCGTCAAAATGGTCCATTGTATATAGTAGGAATCTCTGTAATCTTATTTTAGGGCCAGAATTTGACCTAAACTCCACTGACTTCAATAGATTTATTACCTCACAGAAGTCGCTCTGGATTTCTAACATCATAACTGTTAGAATCTGTTTCTTAATGATTTCACAGGGACATGCAGTCAGGTTTCAAAAATAAAAAGATCAGGTGTTCAAGGGTGTGCAACCTATGTGCATCCTGTCACAAGCGCAGCACTCTGGCAAGTCAGCAGAGGAATGTATTTTAAAGATGTAGACATCTTCTCTTCCTCTTTTTCTGTCTTCTTGTATCATCAGGGTTACCCTGAGGCTTCATTTATACATCTGGGGATATTTATAAAAATACATTAAAACTTTAAAATACATTAAAGTTTTAAAAATGTCCTGAATAAAATTGGGCTGTGGACATGCATAAGAGTTGAATTGTCCCCAAAAGTTATTGATTGGAACCATTTCACAACTGTGTGAAGTGCTATGGCTCTGACACTGGCGGTGGGAGGGGAACCCAGCCCAGTATGGCTTTTGGTGGGTGAGTGGAGGGGCAGGGGAATGCTTGCAACCACATTTTGGGGCCCTAGGACGTGGGTGACCTCTGACTGAGGGGTGTTGTCACTTTTCTGCTTTCTTTCCTCTCTAAAACATGAGTTAAATACACATGAGTAGCCTGTAAATGACTGAAGTTTGCAGTTTGTGTGACTTGTTGGGGGGTGCAGGGAAAGGCTTGGTCCCAATTTTGTGTTCTCAAGGCCTGGGGAAACATGATTTCATAGATTTCATAGACATCAGGGCTGGAAGGGACCTCGGAAGATCGAGTCCAGCCCCCCGCCCAAAGGGCAGGAAGTCAACTGGGGTCATAGGATCCCAGCAAGATAAGCATCCAGTTTCATCTTGAAGGTGTTCAATGAAGGCGCTTGAACCACCTCCGGTGGCAGGCTGTTCCAGACCTTGGGGGCTCGGACAGTAAAGAAGTTCTTCCTTATGTCCAGCCTGAAACGATCTTGAAGTAGTTTGTGACCATTCGACCTCGTCATCCCTTGGGGCGCTCTGGTGAACAAACGTTCCCCCAGATGCTGGTGGTCACCCCTGATAAACTTGTAGGTGGCCATCAGATCACCCCTGAGCCTGCGCTTTTTCAGGCTAAAGAGCCCCAGGGCTCTCAGCCTGTCATCATAGGGTCTGCTTCCCTGACCTCTGATCATGCGCGTGGCTCTTCTCTGGGGGGGGAATGACGTCCCGGGATTTGCTTGAGAAGCATCTATGGATGCAAGCCAGCGTTTTGGTCGCTTTACTAGCCGCCGCATCGCATTGCAGGCTCATGTTCATCTTGTGGTCAATGATGACCCCCAAGTCTCTTTCTTCCATAGTGCTAGCCAACATAGCACTGCCGAGCCTATAAGGATGCTGCGGGTTTTTTTTCCCAAGGTGGAGAACCTTGCATTTATTGGCGTTGAACACCATCAGATTCTCGTCCGCCCACTTGCTGAGCCTGTCCAGGTCAGCCTGGATAACCTGCCTGTCCTCTGGTGTGGATGCTTTTCCCCAAAGTTTGGTGTCATCGGCGAACTTGGCCAGTCCGCTTCTGACTCCAGTGTCCACATCGTTAATGAAGATGTTGAACAGTATGGGTCCAAGGACAGAGCCTTGGGGGACCTCACTGGTCACAGGACACCACGATGAGTGACTTCCATCGATTACTACCCTCTGGGTCCGACCCCGGAGCCAATTTTCCACACATGATGATGTGCTGTGGTTGAATAGGGAGTGAGTATGCAGCTGATTGTCAGATAGCCTTTGTAAAACAAGCAATGCAAGGGTGCTCATACATAAAAAGTGCAAATGAAAGGGGGAAAAAAAACGGGGAAGTAGAGTTATGGCTGCATACCAGAGTGGCCAGTTGCAGCAGTGTGTTTTGGGGGTGAGAAGAAGCAATTCTGTGTGGGATGCCTGGAGGACCAGCTAGACCTGTCACAGGATGTTTGGGTGTCCACACAAGATTGAACTGGTTCACAGTGTACTGGTTCAAAATAGTACTGGATTTCTATGTATGCTTTTGAACCATTGCAGGCAGATTTAAACCAATTTCACAAGTTTATATGTCTGAATGCTTTGGGTTTAAACAGTATTTAAATTATTCTAAGTGTTGTGTCCATACTCTTAGGTATCTAATTCTGTGTACCCGAATAAGTGGCCCGATTTTTCAGAAGTACTAAGCACAGGCATCAGAGTGAAACTTGCTTTATAAAGCTCATGCTCAGCTGAAATCTCTTATAGTTAATTTCTTTTCTCTTACAGGCGTTACGGATTATGGTTCCGATTACGGAAGTTAATAATCTGGTTGGTGGGAGTGTACATAGCCATTCCATTCCTAGTAAAACTTTGTCCTGTTATTCAGGCAAAGCTGGTCTTCTTAAATTTTGGTAAGTGATCGTGTGTGTGTGTGTGTGTGTGTGTGTGTGTGTGTGTGTTAGAAAAGCTTGTGAAACGTTTTCAGCAGTGTTGCTTTTATTTTTTAAAAAATCTTAGCAAAATGGCACTGTGCTTATCTTCCTACATAACATATGTTCATGTACAAGAATCGCATCCATTTGTGCTCAACTGTATATTTGTCCTGTGCCAAAAGAAGTTAGAAAAACTCCAAAATCAGGGTATATTTGTTTCTTTTTCATATAGGACAGCTGTGTTTGGCATTCATCAAAATTTTCTGATGAGAACCTCCAGAAATAATTGTAAAATAGAAATACATCTCTGCTTTAAAAGACCTCTCAGTTCATTTATCATCTGTGTCCACCTATGGTTTATGAAGGCTAGAAATTTTCATAGGCTTATACATTTTGTGAATTGTTAGATCTGTAACCTCTAAGTTTATGGCCCTAGTAACAATTGAAAATGTTTTGGATTTAGATAGAATGGTCAAATTCCAATTAGCTTCTTAATTTGAAATGATAGGAAAAGAGAATATATTTTATTGAAAGGATTATTAAAAATGTATGTGGAATGCATGCAAGTTATTGAGGTCCCATGTCAGCTAAAACATTTGAAGTTGTGTATGATAAATGTATCATCTTCCAGACTTCGGTTCTTCACAGACAAACATTTTTAGGAGAGTATACTGGATGTAGCAAATGCAACTTCTTAGGGGCTGACTCACTCCCTTTCTCCAAGTGTTTTGGTTACTCCTACATAGGAAGACAGTGGCTAACTCCAGATGTTTCAAAGAAAGACACAGAATATTTCCCTGAAGGGGAAATATCTTTCCTCTAAATCAGTGGTTCTCTGACTCAAGGCACCCCTCACTGGATTTGAGGCACCTTTCCATACTTTTCGTGAATTAACTGGCACCCAATTTCAAGAACTGATTGATAGATTACAGTACTTGCTTCCTTGAAGAGGGCCTTGCAGTGGGATCATGTAGGCAGGGAGAAGTCTTGGCCTACTCTTATCTGCTTAGTTTAGCTGCTTATAGCCTAAAACCTCACTTATGTCCTTGCACCTCATGGCACCCTTCAAAAGATCTGGGGCCCTGGCATCCTGGTTCAGAATCACTGGTCTAGGTGCTCATATGACCCCCATTACTGCAATATGTAATCACTGCACTGACATTAATGTTTACATTCCTATAACACAGATTGGAACCTGAGGCTCTGCTAGATTAAGTAATTTACTCAGAGCATCTCTTGGGGTGTGTCTACATGTGCAATTAATATACATGAATACATTCCAGAGCATATTGCTCTGGAGCTTATTCACGTTTAGCACATTGAGCCCAGTCAGAGCAGCCCAGGCGGGCAGGGGATGCAGGGAGTCAGCCTGCCAGCCCAGAGCTGCTCTGACTGGGCTCCATGTGTTGAGGAGGAGCTGACTTGGGGACGAGGGGGCTTCAATGTGGGGCTAGCCTGCAGGCATCCCCCATGCTTAAGCACCCTCATGCCCCAGCCAGCAGCTCCACAGCATGTGAAGCCCCTAGACTGGCTGCTCCGATGAGGCCCATGGGCAGCAGAGGGGCTGGCTGAGGCATGAGGATGCTTCAGCGTGGGGTTGCCTATCAGCTAGCCCTGCACTGAATCATCTTGTGCTCCAGCCAGCCCTGTCATTATCTATGCATATGCTGCAGCGCATGAAATAATCCCTCTGCAGAATAGTACTCGTGGGATACCCTCTGGTGGTGTTTAGTAGTCTACTGTGACCTAATAGGGTTGCATGTGTAGATGGTACGTTTTACTGCAGAGCTAATTAGTCATCTCCACAGTAAATGTTTCGTGTAGATGTGCCCTTGGAGTTTTAACATAGAGCTGGAGAGTGTATGCTGATTTTAGTCCACCTTGTTTAAATGCTGAAAATTCATTAGTGCATCTACTTTTGTAATACCCCATCATCTTACTCTCCAGTCATAAAAAGGAGGAAGCAGGAGCCCCATCCACCATTTGTTTTAACAGTTTTTCAGGGACTTGAGTACAGTGAAATAGAATTGCACTCAGATGCCTGAGTCCACGTAACTCATTTAATACAGAGAACAGAATCTGGTCCTGGTGTTAATAAAAAGCATGTCAAGTTTGGTGTCAGATTTATCTGGTTAACATTAAAAGCTATGGAAGTCAGCAGCTCATGTTTACAGAATGTGCATTTAATGGCATTTGTTGGCCAGGTGAGGCGAGGGCTAATGCTCAACTCGGTAGCATTTCTCTGTTTCTCAGTAACACAATCCCTTTAGAAAGGGACATCTGATTAAATTCTGGAATTTCCAGAAATCAGGTCCGCTGATGTTGGCAAAAAGTGCTGCCTGCAGATGGACTGGTGTGGCAAGCAGTTGAATCCCTGTTATCCACCCCTCCGGCTTCATACGCATACCAAGAGCAGCAGCTTAATTTACTGCCTGTAGGGAAGACTCCATCTCCAAAAGAAATAAGAAAGGTTTACAGGGAAGGTTTGAGTTTATAGGGAGCATGGGAAAGAAGCAGTTATGGAGGGAGGAGAAGAGCAGTGTCTGGGTTTTGGGTGAGTGGTGATGGGAAAGGCATAGATGTTGTGGGGGAAATGGAGGTGGAAGAAGGCAGGGGACAGGTAGGGAGCATAGCAGAGGCTGGGACTTGGAGGGCTTGAGGGACTTGGTGGGGTAGGGAGTGTTGTGAGGAAAATTAAATCTGGTCATATCAAGTTGACTGAACTCCCAGAAGTCTTTTCAAGATGATTCAGTTAATGATTGTCAATGATTGGCCTAAAGTTAACTCCAGTAAAATGGCAGGGAACATCAAGAACAATAGAACCATAATAAAACCATAATGTGGTGACTATTGGGACTAATTAGTGTGGCAATAGGAAAATATTCCAGATGTGTAAGGCTGTGTTGTTGTAAATTTTGGATCTATAAGCCAAATATCATACAACAAACTTGGCTAGTATTGGTAATGTCACTAAATGGTTAAACAGCAATGAGCAAGTGAGATATTCATTTGTTGTTTGTGATTCATACCATCTGGATGGATTTCCGAGGGAAAAGATCAAGCCCTCGAAATTGGAGCAGTGCAACCCAGGAAGCTCGCTCAGTGCAGCCGACTGAGGGGAGTGACTCCTGACTAACAGCTCTAGACAGACTGACACGCAGTGAGATTCGTGCTAACATGCTCAGTTTTTGTAACTGCCTGCTTATATACTGGCAGACCTAGTAAAGTAAGTTAATTGTTTTGTATTTAGTGAATATTTTTGTAGTCAATAAAGCTTCTGACTGATATCGGATGAGTACTGTGGGTTAATTGCATAGTTCTCCTTGCCCACAGAGAAGTAGGGCTCGAGTTTCAGCCCAACAGGGACCAATGAGGACAAGGGGATCAGTGACCCCAAAGCAGTGGTGACGAGTAGAGGATGCATGGGGGGGCACATGCACCCCCTGAGAGCACCAGTGCGCACCCCCTGTCAGTCCGCGCTCCCTGTTTAGCCGGCAGGCAGGGGGGCAGATGGGAGCACCAGTGCCCCCCCTGCGAGCGTCAGAAGTGGCCATGGGACTTCCGGAAGCGGCGCAGCTGCTTTTTGGTGAGTGATCAGCCGCTGGGGGACCCCCTGCCCCACCAGTCGCTGACTGGTGTCACATGCCCCCCCAACTTGAGAGGCACTAGTCACCCATGCCCCAAAGGGATGAAATGGTCAGGTGTGCAGAAGTCTGGGGCTAGAGTGTGGGTAGCAAAGAAGGCAAGCCTTGGGGTGGGGAATGGAAATGGAAAGGATGTTTGAGGTTCAGGACCTAGAGTTGTAACAGAGTTCTGGAGTGGGGTGGACTGACACGGGAGTTGGCATGGCAGACACACCAGTAGGAGAGTGTGGGGAATGACATGGAGTCCCTGCATAAGGAAGAAATGGCAAGGGGCTGCATCCATTGTTACCACTTTACAAATACTGAACCTGAACCACATTTCCATTTTGTTTCCTGACCAATTGCTTGGAAACTTTGTATTTGAGAGAAGGTGGCAACATTTGGACACTTAGTGCGGAACAACCTTTCCTGCTATAAAAGAAACCTCAGCTAAGCCCTTTATGGGAATTTGGATGTCTGCCATGGTACAACATCACTTGCCTTTCTGCTGGAGGGAATATGGGCAGCAGCACAATGTTTTATTTTGGGTAGCTGTCACTTCAAATTGCCAAATATTTGAGAGGAATAAGGTCACACCTTCAAGGTCATGAAGGTAGGCTTGCCTGTAGATCCCACTGATTTTCCTAATGCACAACAGAAATCAGGTTACTGGAGGAGTTATGCAATCTTCTGGAACAAACATGCTGTCACATGGTAATAGAAGTGCTTCAGCTCCCTCATAAATGAATAGCATTTCCAAGTTTTTGGGGACTCGTAGGCCCAGAAAAGTTGTTACCATATTATTCTTGTATGTAACCTGCACCTTTTCCCCAAAAACCAGTTGGGGAAGATTGGGCTGTACACCATATGTGAAGAAGGGCTCCCCATGGGTCCAGAGATTTGTTGGGGGGGGGGGAAGAGAGAGGAGCAGTGGCAGCATTAATGGTTAAAGCTCTGGGAGACGCAGCAATTAATCCTGCCATCACTTCCTCCCTCCCCACTCTCCATTGTCAAAATTCTGGATGCCTGCAGAGCCACCTTCCCCAAACACATGCCAGATCAGGCTGGCATGCAGGGTTGGCCAGTGGTCAGACATAACATTCCAGGTCAAACCTGGTGCACCACGTCTGACCTCACTTGTTGGCTCTGGAGCCACATGCTGGGTTGGACCCAGTGTTGCCAAGTCTGGAGCCTCATGCTGGCTCCTGGACCATGCGATGGGTCACACCTGGCACACACCTCTGGAGCCAGCATCACCATGGTGGGATTGCACTGGGCTGTATGGTTCTGTCCCCTATGCTGGCGTAGCAGTATTGGGCCCTACCTCATGACTCTGGCCCCAGCACCAGCATGGTCAGATTGGGCCCTGTCATGCAACTGTGGCCCTGTGGTGGCTGGATTGGGCCCCACCACAGGGGGCTGGGACTGGGGCCAGTGGACAACCCCCAGCTCTGGCACATGTCTCCCAAACATCAAGATGACAGCCCCAGTATGCAGCTCCATTGTGTGACCCCTTAGTCCTGGAGACCCCAAAACTCAGGTACTTACCTGTACTCTTAAGGTAGGATCTTTTTTCCTTTTGGGACCATCCCAAAATAGGGTGTGTATTATATTTAGGGACATGTTCTTGTAAGAGACTACAGTGTGTTGTTCCAAAGGTGCAACCACTGAGTTGTGGCATATGACATACCTCCTTTGAAGCAGGAGGTGAGGAGATTTCTTCGTAGTCTAAATTTGGTATTTGCCATATTTTCTCACATTTAATTTGCCCCTGAGTCTAACACATGCCCTGTTTTTTAAAAGGTATCATGAAGAATAAAAGATCTCATCTTGGTTAAGTATCTAAGTAACAGCAGCCAGGGAACTGAGCTTGCTCCTGAGCCTGCTGCCAGCCCTGTGCACAGGATGGGACCCACATACTTATCCAGCACACTGGATCTAGGGCTGCACACTAGGTCCAGCCCTGCACAGCAGGCCTAATATGGCACAGTGGGTCTGGGATGGTGCAACAGGCCCACTGCAGCATAGCAGGTCTGGGGCTGAATGCCAGGTATGACCCCACATAGCAAGTCTGGGGCTGTGAAATGGGTGTGATCCAGCATGGCATATCTGACCCCATGCGGCAGGTTGAGGGTTGCACAGTCCAAGACTTTGCGCAGTCTCAGACTCGGCACACCAGGTCTGACCTGGCACATGGGCTCTGGAGCCCGTGCAGGGGGTCAGACCTAGAATGCCAGGTCTGGGACTGTGTGCTGGGTTAGACTCCATGCACGGGCTCCAACAGCAGGCCAACTGCATGCACTGGCCTGATCCAGGGCACAGATGGGGAAGGAGGCCTCCCACTGGTTCAGAAATTTGGCAGCAGTGGGGGAGTGGTGGCAGTATTAATTGCCATCTGCCCCAGAACCAGGGCAATTAATGCTGCCACAGCATGTCCTGGCCCTTCCCCCCCTCCCCCACCTCCAAAAAAAAATAAAAAAATTATGGCCCCTTGGGGATCCCTTTTCCTCACATATAATGCAAACCTCATTTTTCCACAGCTGGTTTTGGAGGGGAAGGTATAGATTACATGTAAAAAGACAGTTTTCATTTTGATTATTTATGAAAACATAGGGAGACTGTAGATATTAGAAAACACCTATCTACACTCCTGCTTATGTCCCTAGCAACCTGAAACAAAATCCTGCAAGTTCAGATAAATGTTGGTTTATCTTAAGTTACTGGTATGTGTATGGTTCCGTATAAAGCAGCAGTTCCCAAACTCTGACAGCTTGTGCACCACCAATTTAAAATGATACAACCTTAAGTACCACCTGCAAATTTTTGTCATGTAAAGTAATTATAATAAATCTGTTAACCCATACTACTGACAGGTTGTCTGCGTACCACTGGTGGTACCTGTACCACAGATTGGGAACCGCTGATATAAAGTATGTGAACATATAACCCAATCCCTTGCCAGTTCAAGTTCATGGATTGATGCCACATATTGTGAGATTCCAAAATTAGACTGGATAGAGTATTAAATACAAATCAGGAAAAGCTCTTTCATGTTTTTCTTCATCTCGTTTCATTTGATTGTACCTGTTAGTGTCCCCCTGAGCAGCTATTTTGTTTTGTTGATGCTAGCCCACTTCTAAAGGCTGTAACAAGTTACACCATTTTCACCTACAGGAAAAGAGGTCTTTTTGGTGGGACAGAGCTGTGTACAGTCCTCCATATGTGTTGGTGTTGGTTTAGATAGTGGGTTGAAATGCACTGTCTGGCAGTATTGAGTTGCAAGAAAAAGGAACTTAAAAGCTTAAGTATTTGATATTTTACTCTTTTCCTGTGTTTCAGTGAGAGTCCCATATTTCATTGACTTGAAAAGACCACAGGATCAAGGTTTAAATCACACCTGTAATTATTATCTGCAGCCAGAGGAGGATGTAACTATTGGAGTCTGGTAAGTAAGCTTAAGCCATCTTTCCAGTGAATGGTAACCATTGCTTGTTCTCATCTGGATTTGTGTCTTTGCTGAAGGACAGCTTCATGTTGAAGGTATGCAGTTCTTGGATCTCTACTGAGCTAAATTCAGCAGTGTATGAAACACAGTCAGACAGATCATGACTGTGGAGAAGATTCATAATTTGGAACTGAAGTTACTGCTCTGGGTTGCTGGAAAGGTTGTGCCCCTCCAGTAAAGCAAATTTGGTGAATTAGAAGTTACTTGTTGACCAACTCCTGTGGGGAAAAAAAATATGAACAGAATACAAATGGAGAAGATGGAAGCACGGGCACATCTACATGTATCCCCAACTGTGCATTTGATACCGTGCAATACTCACCGATACATCGCAGTCCCAGTGGTGCATGGTTATTTTCAGATGATCTGTCACTGTAGCAATGAGCTATAGTGACATAGCTTATTGCTACTGCGACATAGTATGTCGTGTAGACGCGCCCACTGACTCAGTGTTCAGAGTAGGAGGAGGAATATGCTCTAGAGCAGTGGTTCCGAAACTGTGACTTTCTCACACCACCAATTTAAAATGATACAACCTTAAGTACTACCAGCAAATTTTTGTCATATAAAGTAATTATAATAAATCTGTTAACATGTACCACTGATGGTACCAGTATCACAGATTGGGAACTGCTGCTATAGAGGCATATGTAAAACTGGAGAGAGAGGCATGGAAACCCATTGTGCTCTCTAATGAAAACAAATGATGGTCATAGATACAGTTGTCAGCTCTGGCTCTTGGAGGAAAATTGTGAGGTCCCAAGCATGGCAACTTCTTGTATACTCATTGGGTTTTCTGAGATATATAAGTGGGGTGACTGGTGGTGCAGGAAATTTTTGTTTTGACAGGTCCATGTTCAGTATTACTAGCCTAGCAAGCTTATTTTGAACCTCTGTCCAGTGAATGCTTTTCATTGTGTGTCAACACCACTGCTTCTTTCTAGTTTGTATAACTGTGAAAAAGATCCTGTTAGCTTGAAAATGATCATTTAAGGGTTATGATGTGTATAATTGGAGCACCCAGTTAAAGTCTAATATATTATTGGCTGATCAAAGAAAAGGAGCCAGTTCTAAACCCACCAGATATAACTATATTTATGAGTCACCAGTCACAATTTGCATTTGTGCTGCACTTGGGTATGTATCATAACAATCTGGTGTGTTTTTTAGTCTTGAATTGACTAGATGGGGTATCCTCTGTTGAATGGCACGATGAGGAAGGGAGTGGGGCTGGGGCAGGTGCTTCACAGCTGGGGTGGAGCAGGAGACAGAGTTGCAAGTGGCTCACCCGGGGGGCAGCTCCCACCACTGCATGCACCCCGGGAGGGCATGGTGGGCATGTGCCCTCAGATTAGTGTGTGGGGCATGGGTGGGCTGCTGCTGCAGGCTGGGGCCAAGATGATGCTGGGCTCTTCCTGGCACTGGGCTGGGCAGGCTGCGCTCAGGGCGGGTGGTGGCAGCACTGGGAGGGGAGGCTATGGCGAATTTTGGGGTGGCTGCAGCTGCCATCACCGCCACCCACCCTGAGCACTGCTCAGCCAAGCCCCCTCCCAGAAAGAGCCCAGCACTGCTCCAGCCTCAGCCCACAGTGGCAGCCTGCCTTTGCCCCACACACAGATCTGAGGGTACGCCCTCCCCATGCCCTCCTAGGGTGCATGCAGCAGTAGGAGCTGCTCCCCCCGTTCCCCCTGCCCTCCCTGGATGAGCCTCTCATGGCTCTGCCCCCCGCTCCATCCCAGCTGTGCAGCATCTGCCCCAGCCCCACTCCCTCCCTCCCTATGGGGGGCCTTGATCTGCCCTCCCCCCACGCCCCTTCCCCCACAACAGACTAACCAGCTGGATGCCGTTCTCCATGCTGCCTGGCTGCATATCAGAATCAGATCAGTATCAGCCGATATGGCTCATTAAAAACCGGCCATCACTACCAGCCCAAAAAATCTCTATTGGTGCACCCCTAGTTTTTAACCTAGAAAAGACAGGACAGAGAGGAAAGGGGGGGGGGGGGGGGGCCCCA